AAAGGGTGGGGGCCAGCCGCTGCCTCCACTCTGGAGTCAGGGACACCTAGTGTGGGCCGTGTTCTGGGGATATATTCTACTGGTATCCTGGTGTTCTGTGCAGTGGAGGAAACAGACATTAAACAAACACATAATGCATAAAGAAATGCACAGTTGTAAATGACAGTTCAGTGCTACAGAGACAGACAACAGGGTTCTCTGACAGGAAATAAGAGTGGGGCCCTGATGACTGGATGAGTGGGTGGTCAGGGAAGGCCCCTCTATATAGGAAGTAATATTTAGAGCATACTCGACACACGAGAAGATACTGGCCAGGAAAAGGGAGGGAGAGAGGACTTCAGGTGTCAGAACAGCAAAGCTAAAGCACCACAATGGGAGCAGGAGGACTGAGGGATTTGAGGACCTGATTGAGGATCTGAGAGTCCAGGCGGCTGGAGCCTGGCCAGCAGAGAGGAGAAGATGATGGTGGGTCATGCAGGACTCAGCTCATTCTGATCAGCTGGACCATCATAAGGAGCATCTTCGTTTACATGCAGTGAAAGCCACTGAGGAGATGAAGGAGGGCAGTGACAAAGTTGACTGCGTTTATGGAAAAGAACACCCAGACACTGTGCAGAGACTGGGCTGGAGGTGCTCAGCGTGCAAGAGAAGAAGCCAGTTTCTTGCCAGTTCAAGAATTCTAGGCAAGAAATGGTGATAACTAGGTTAGGTTTATAGCAGTTGAGGTAGGGAGAAATTAATGGTTGAAGAAATACCTCAGGTAGAACCAGCTGGACTTGGTGAGGAATGACAGTGTTAGGATAGGAAGGGGCATGAGGGAAATGACACATGAAGCCAGGCCTCCCAGGGTTTTGGTTTGAACATGAAGTGGACAGAGGTGCTTTTTATTGCAGTGTGGTAACCAGAGAATGGCCCTTGTCTTTGAGGTTTGGTTATGTTTATTTGCTTGCTGTGGGAAGAGGGGGATAGCATCTTGAGTTTGGTTTCAGACAAACTGTGATATTCTAGTCACTGAGTCAGGTCATAGTTGCATGTACAAGTCTGGAGGTCAGGGTTGGGAGAGGGATTTTGAGTCTTTGACTGCTGATCATATGTGTCCAAAGTCATGGAAACAAAATGTCATTTCTGGAAGGATTGTAGAGTAAGAGAGAGGCCCAGAACCAATCTGAAGGACTCCAACCTGTCAAAGAGAGCTAGAGGAGAAGGGTTAGCAAAAAGGGATAGGAGACGTAGGCCTGGAGCAGGAAACAAGGCAGGGAGCCTGGGACGGGAAGCCTCCGTGAAGAAGGTTGTACTGTGTAAGCTCTCTGAACAGGAAGCCATGTCAGCTTTTTTTTTATTTTTTTGGTCTGAGCATGTGTATAACTTTTGGGAAGCATAATCTTATGTCTCAAGTTTACTCCTCCTCCTTTTCTTCACCTTCTTAGGTTATAAACATAATCAATGCCGCCCAAGAAAACAGCCCAGTCACAGTAGCGGAAGCCTTGGATAGAGTTCTAGAAATTTTACGGACCACGGAACTGTACTCCCCTCAGCTGGGTACCAAAGACGAAGACCCCCACACCAGTGATCTTGTTGGAGGCCTCATGACCGTGAGTGACGGGGAAAGCGGAATGCAGGGGAGACGACGTTAATGCGCTCCGGGGGAGATCTGCCATATGTATGTGTTCCCTGTAGTTGCAGAGCCTAACATCAGTATACCCAGAAGCAACTGCATCAAAATCTGCCTTACACATGTGGTGCTACTCAAGTGATTCTTGCACTTGTCTTGCCATAAGGCTGACCGGCCACGGCAGTAGGAGACAGTCCTTTAGAATTTGGACTGCAGTTTGAGTACATGGGCAATTGACTGATGGCTGAATGTGCAAAACAGGGGATATGCGGGCCTGTTTACTTCTTCCCCTTGGTCTAGTGTGGCATGGGGTAACATATTTGGTTTGAGAGTCACTGCTGTTTCCTTGGACCTCAGATTCTTTATGTAATGAAGAATTTATACTTAGACTATGGTAGTGTCCAACTTTTAGCTATAGAAGCCTTTCTTTAAATAAAAGTCTATACCAGGTTCCATTTGTAATCAGATAAAAGCAGAGAAGAATCAGTCTGTCTCAGTCAGAGGAAGGCGAGGAGTAACCACCCTTGGCCGCACTCCAGGAAGCACCATTGTAGCCAAGAGTGGTGTTTGCTAAGGATTCATCCTGTCCCAGCCTTTTGCTGTGATCTGGTAATATTTGGCTTTATTCATCACCTGTCAGCAAGTGAAGAAAATGGAAATTGTTCACGTGTGCTCCTTATCAGAGGTTGAAGTTGGACGAATTCCTTAGTAGAACAAGTCTAAGAGCCATACATGAGTTTTATACTTCGAGGGTCCAGCCCAGCCCCGCCTCCAAATGCAGAGTGTTAACTGGTTTTCTAGTCCGTTCTCTGTCTCTAATTGGAGTGATATCCTCTCCCTCTCCTGCCCATCCTGGGCTGGCCTTGGTCCCCATCCCCTGCAGTGTATACTTCTGCTTCTACAGAGCACTGGTCAATAGGTGTCCGCTCTTCTTCCTACCCTGCCCCACCAAGCCATCTTAGGGTTCCTTCCAGATGCTGTGAGGAATGAGTGCAGGATCCCACACCATTTTTATGCAGCTTTGGGGAAGTAGAGGGGACAGCAAGACAAAACAGAAGTCTGTTGCATTACATCTTAGAGGCAGGCATTGTGGCTGTTGTTACTTACCTATTTATCCACATTCTGTAATTACGCTCCTAGCCTGAAGACCCAAGGTTCTAGACTTTAAGGGAACCCTTCACTAATTAACATTACTTTAAACCTTAGCATGCATTTTCTGGGGATGACACCTAAACAATTCTAAATGACTTTTAAGCAGAGGCCTAAATAAGGAGGTACTCAGGGGTAGAAGGTAGAGGGAAGGAAACAGATCCAAGAACTTTTAGGGACTAGTTCCAATTAAAGAGCCAGTAAATAGCAGAACTTGTAAATTCTTTCTTTCTTCTTTTCTTTTTCTCTTTCTTTTAATGTTTTTGCCATAGGGTGTGTGTGCTCACCAGAGAGAGAGAGAGAGAGGGAAAGTGAGAAATCACCCAACAGGGAAGATGGCTATGCCATAATCCCTTCTCCTCCATTCTCCTGGGATTCTGGGCACTCATGCACAAGCAGCCAGTGTGATTTTCAAACTGCCAGGTCTGGGACTCAAACCACAGCCCCCCATGTGGGAGTCCAGTACTTTTTTTTTGTTTTTTTTTTAGAGAGGGATTTTTGCTATAGGGCATGCTCGCTTGTCAGAGACAGAGAGACAGAAAGTGAGAAATCACTCCCCAGGGGGATGGTCACGCTACAATCTCTTCTCCATTCTCCTCTCAGGATTTTGGGCATGCATGCATACCCAGTGTGAGTTTTAAGTCACTACATCCAGGACTTGAACTGTGGTCAACTACGTGGGAGTCCAGTGACGTAGTAACCATTACGCCATCTGCTGGTCCTGGGAGTCTAGCATTTTAACCACTGCACCACTTGCTGGCCCCACTCTGCCCACTTTCTTAAGCTGCCTTTCCAAAGACTACAAACCCAGACACTTATTTTTTAAAAGGCTAGCAGCAATGTTCATGTTTCAAAACAGAATATACAATTGGAAAAAGATCGGCCAGTAATTAACCCACACTTAAGACTTTGCATTAGATCATCACCAAAACGTGGCTCAAGTCCTCAGCTCTTCAAAAAGTAATTCAAAGGGACCAGCAGTTAGCGTAATGGCTATGTCGCTGGACTCCCATGTAGTCGACCGCAGTTCCCGTCCCGGACCCAGTGGCTTAAAACTCACGCCGGGCGCCTGTGCGTGTGTGCCCAAGATCCCGAGAGGAGAATGGAGGAGAAGGGATTGTGGCATGGCCATCCCCCCTGGGGCATGATTTCTCGCTTTCTGTTTCTCTGTCTCTCTCTGTCTGGCTGGCAAGCGCACACGCCCTATAGCAAAAACCTCTCCAAAAAAGAAAAAAAAGGTAACTCAAAGAACATAAGAAAAGCATAATTTCTATGAGGGTGAGTGGAGTCCCTTCAAAACCACATGTCGCCAAAGCAAGGTCACTTCTATGATTCACGTCTATGGCTTTAAGATGCCGGAAGAGAAAGATGGCGAGAGCACAGAGCCGACTCACAGCTCAGGTGCGGGATCTAGGGCAGTCACGCTCACTTTCTTCCTCATTCTCTGCTTCCCAGGACCAACAGCCATGGAAGGGAGAGTGTATCCACCTTATAGATTTAATTTTGAGCTCTGTTCCCACTTGGAATTCCGCATTGATTCAGCTATTCAGAATTCGAACTTCTCTAATGAAGAACATGAGCGAATAATGGTAGTGGGATCTAAAGCATGCTTCTAATAGCATCTTTCTTTATTCCAGGATGGCTTGAGAAGGTTGTCAGGAAACGAGTATGTGTTTACCAAGAGTAAGTCTCCATCCACCCTCTTATCTGACAAGCTATCCACCATTCACGCCATCCCCAGTGTTGTGATTGTTGCTCAGGGAGGGCCGTGGTGTCACTTCCAGTGGGTTTTATTTAAGTGTCTCCGTGGTCTACATTTGGAACTAGGTCTTCTCATTAAAATGGCTTCTCTGAGCGCTGTTAGGATAAAATCATAAATCTCTGTATATTTGCCATTTTTAAGACAAGCAGACAAACCGAATCATTTTTCTGTATGGGGGCCTTGAAGTTTAATGATGTGAGGAAAGAACCTGGAAGTGAAAATCTCCTTGCCCTTGGAAGTGCAAGTTCTTCTTTCTAGTAGCAAACATGAAGATGATGACAGGTGCTTAGGGGCACGCCAGATTCCACAGTTAACCCACCCCCCAACTCCATGTGTTTGCTCAGACGTGCACCAGAGCCATAGCCACCTTGCGATGCCAATAACCATCAACGACGTCCCTCCTTGTATTGCTCAATTACTTGATAATGAGGAAAGCTGGGACTTCAACATCTTTGAATTGGAAGCAGTTACACATAAAAGGTATGTGGCTTCCCCGGCTGCAGGTAGGGGAGGGTCGATGGCCGCACAGACTTCTGCCTCTTAGACACTTGAAGGAGATGTGTGTACGAGAGGCCGCACGAGTGCTACCTTTCCTGCCATGTTGGAGTGTCAACAGGGCAGAGACTGTGGGCTCCGAATGAGGTTCTCTGTGGAGAGAGACTGTTCGTGGGTAAGACATGGGATCAGCCTGAGTGTCCTCAGATCTACTCAGGTCACCCCTTTGAGCTGAGCCAGGAGTCCAAGTATTTTCAGCCCCATATTTGTTGAAATTCCACCCTACAAGGTGACTTTAAGAGCACTATAGATTTGACTTTGAATCCCTCCCATAGGCAGGGATTATATACTAAAAGGTGCCCTCTATTTTAGAAGGCTGTTTCTTTCCAGGGGGTGCTCTACAGGAAATGAACAGTTATCAACTGTAAATAAGTAACATGGCTCTAAACCGTGTGACTTGCTGAGACACCCATGCCATCCCTTTGTTCTTGGGCTCAATAGCGTCTTCAGAGGAAATGCAGGGTTTGGGTGAAAGGGGAGATGAAGAGCGACTGCCAGAAACCTTTCTTGGTTGTCAGAGCCACTGAAGGACTATGAACAAAAATGACCTAGAAATAACTGGGATTGGGACCAGCAGATGGCGTAATGGTTACATCACTGGACTCCCATGTAGTCGATTGCAGTTCGAGTCCCAGACCTGGCAGGCACTTAAAGCACACTGGGCGCATGTGCATGCATGCCCAAAATCCTAAGAAAAGAATGGAGGGGAAGTGATTGCAGTGTGGCCACCCTTCGGGGGTGGGGGGGATTTCTTGCTTTCTGTTTCTCTCTGTCTTTCCAGTGAGCACACACACCCTATAGCAAAAACCTCTCTTAAAAAAAAAAAAAAAAAGAAAGAAAGAAAGAAAGAAAGAAAGAAAAAAAGAAAGAAAGAAAAAAAGTAAAGAAAAGAATAAAGGAAAGATTAGGATTTATCACCCCAGGAGGCACTAAGTTCCAGAGTGCCTGGTGGGGAGGAGATGGCCTCTTACTAATCTGGGATTGCATATGTTTGCCCCTCTGTGCATTTGGAGTGATCAGAGAAGAATGCCTCCATTCCCTCAGATCATCAAAGGAATCAGTTTCTGGGCCATTGAATACGAGGAACCAGGGTTTACTTTCCTATTTTCCAGGCCATTGGTTTACCTGGGCTTAAAGGTCTTCTCCCGGTTTGGAGTATGTGAATTTTTAAACTGTTCTGAAACCACTCTTCGGGCCTGGCTCCAAGTGATCGAAGCCAACTACCACTCCTCCAATGCCTACCATAACTCCACCCACGCCGCGGACGTCCTGCATGCCACCGCCTTCTTAGAAGAAGAAGAGTGAAGGTAGGGTTTCGTCCTCATGAATGTGGGCACCTGCCTGGGTGGCAGGCCCAAGATCTCAGTTTCAGTAAGGACGTTAAGTGGACAGCTCTTTTGCAAACATCTTGATAGGAGTTTTTGGCCATCAGTTTGACCAGGCCTCCTGGTGTTGTAAAGACACAGGCCTCTCTCTAGCCCTCTCCTCTCTCAAATGCTTAAAAGTAGTTTCTGCCTATCAAACAGTTCTTGCTTCAGTATAAATAGTCACTTATACGCAGAGCATAAAAACGGGACGCTGGTTATCCTGGCGTTTCTACTTGCAGCAGTTCTGGAGAATTGGGTAAGGGGGTCTCTAATGAATTAAAGGGGCCTCTCAGCCCTGGGCATGCTCATCTATGGTTGGGTTGAGGATACTTAAAAAAATTATTAATTTTATTTATTATTTTAATACTATTAAATTAATATTAAATTAATTAAATTAATAATTGAAATTATATTAATTAATTATTGGGCATGTACCAGAGAGGGGGAAAGTGAGAAAGCAAGCTGTCATGTCTGGGATTCACACTATGGTCAGTCATGTGGGAGTCCAGTGCCTTAACTGCCATGCCACCTGCTGGCCCCGAGGCTGCTCTGTAATAGTGACATTAGGATAATTCTAGCCAGGCCTAGCACAGTCCATAGCATACTGGACCACAAGGCTGGAAGCCCACTCTGGCTAATCCTCTTCAGTGTGATCCAAATCTATTTCTGCTGACCAAATGAGGAAATGGCTATACAGAGCTGGCTTTGCTTTCGGGTTTGGAGTTGTACCCCCTGCAGGTTTGGTGGGGCTTTCCTTCAGTGGGCAGTCTCCAGCCCCCATGGGGGTGGCATGCTTCTCCCCTCTGCTAGTGGCCAGCCCAGTCTTCTTCCCAGCTGTCCTCCAGCCCTTTCTTACCAGGCAGGCATTGTTAGTGCCCATCCAAACTGCAAGACGCAGCCCGTTGTCAGTGCCTTTCATTGGGTTTTTGGTTTAAGTCCGTGTACGCTGGAAGAAAAGGCATTATTACCTCATTTGCTACTCGTATTTTCTACACCAATTACTTGAATCTGTCTCATTGAAGGAGTTAAAAATAAAGTGGCTGCAAGCAGGATTGAACCTACCATAAGGACACTGGCTGGAGGCCGACTCTGGGCCTCCTGGTCTTCCCTATTTAGAATCAGTGCAGCTGGAGCCCAGGTTGGACGGTTCTGGGTCCTGGCCTTCCAAATAGCTGGCTGCACCTGCAGATGACAGTGGCCTCTCCTGACCAGCAGGGAAATGGGGCCCAGTGTGCTTGTGTGTCCTGGGCCCCACAGAATAAATCGCTGAGACAAGCTCAGGAAACCTGGATGTGTTGACTGTGGCCAACCCAGGACTGTTCAGCTACCCAGATCAGGACTAGAAATGGAAATGGTCCCTGCTGGTGGGCACAGAGCTTCGGGAACGCCATTACAACCCTAACCCAACGCAAGCCTATGCAGGCCAGTGGTCAGCCAGAGTGTTGTTTCAGGACAGGGCTGAGCTTCAGATTCACCGTCCCTCACCCAAGAAGCAGTTTTTCCTCCCACACACCTGCAAGAGCAACTTGGGAGCACCAAACATGCCACCCACCTTCCAGCCTCATCGCGGAAACCACTTCCCCTCACGCACTGTCCTCCAGACACAGGGACGCTCTTTAGGTGTGTTTGTCCTCAGGGGCTTCATGGAGGCTCTTCTGGCTGCCTGGAATTCTCTCCTTTGCCATTGTTTGCCTGGCTAATTCCCATGTATCCTTCAGGCTTCGGCATAAACATCACCTCCTTGAGAAGCTATCCCCGACCAACTTCAGGACCCCTCCTGTCCATTAGCTACACATGCCCATTAAAATGAAAATGAAAAACTTAGTTCCTCAACTACCCTGGCCACACTGCCCGTGTCCAGTAGCTACATGTGGCCAGGGGTCGCTGAGTTGGATAACCCCAGTGTAAACAATCTCCACCCTCACAAAGTCCACTGGGCAGTGCTGCCCTAAGCTAGATCAGTCCATGTGTGCACTGCCACAGTAAGTGCCACAGTCAAGGACACCACATGCAACATTTCCTGCTTGGCACCTGTCACAGTAAGTGACTTCTGTTTGCGTCCTGAAATTTATGCCTCTCCTCCAGATTTTAAACCTCCACTAGCACAAAGACCCAGCCCATGCAAATCACCATGGTAGTTCTGGCCGGATGCATGAGACCTGGTACCCAGTAGGCACCCAGTAAATAAACCCTGAATGAATGAATGATAGTAGTCTCTTATGTAACGGTAGCCCATCTGATAACCTCCTTCTCAAACCCAGCGCCAAGGAAATGTATGTCCCACAGCTCTGGCTTGTGCTGGTTAATTTCATGACAGCTTTAGTGAGGTCTGCCCTTTTGCCTTTGCTGCCTGCTGGCCCAGAGCAGAACTTTATCCCTAGCTGTAAGAGCCCCCTTAGCCTCCGTTTTCCTGGTAACATTATCCGTCTCCCCCTTGATCCTCTTTACTCAGGCCATCTTACCATTGTGTGAGGGCTTCTGTTACACCTGTGCCACTGACTACTCGTGCTTCAAAATCCTTTCCTCAGGAGATGAGAACAACAAGCAACGTTCGAGACCAAAGGCCCCTTTCTGCTTTGTCCACCCTGGGAGAGTCACAGCAGAACCATACAGCAGGCAGTTTAACAGGCTGGTTTGGTCTGGGAGAGTCACAGCAGAACCATACAGCAGGGAATTTGACAGGCTGGTTTGGCTCCTGCCTGCAGAGCTGGAGGGAATGAACTCAAGAAAGAATTTAGGTCTCCACCGAAACTGCAGTTGAGACTTCCTTTCCCTCCAGATAATACACATCGTATGGTGATGCGACATGCCCAAGGCCTCCCAGCATCTGGGAAGCCAGAGAAGGCTCGGTGGGCTAGGAGAACGTCCCGAAAGCCCCAGATCCCTCGGGCCCACCCCCCTCCAGATGCAGGCTGGATGTAGGTCTCCAGAATCCGTGGTAATCCTCATCACTGCTTCCTCTTGTCCCAGGGAAGCCTCGATCACTTGGATGAGGTGGCAGCCCTGATCGCTGCCACGGTGCATGACGTGGATCACCCGGGAAGGACCAATTCTTTCCTGTGCAACGCAGGCAGTGAACTTGCTGTGCTCTATAACGACACCGCTGTCCTGGAGAGTCACCACACGGCGCTGGCTTTCCAGCTCACGGTCAAGGACACCAAATGCAACATTTTCAAGAATATCGACAGGTTCGTTGCGCTTGGATTCCTTATGCTTGAGTTTGTGAAGTCTGAGTGGGAAATTGAGTTTTCTCTAACATCTCCACATATTTAGCTTGATCTCAAAGGCAAAGGGAAATGAGAATAGTTGTAGCACTGTATCAGGTGATGAAACAGTAACCTTGCCCTCGTAAACTTAATTTTACCTTCTAAACTGCCTTCATGTTTTAAAATTTCGTTTGGCTTTCAACGAGTTCGTGAAAATGTTTTATACACCGCACCGCGTGAAAGTTGTGTTACTAATGAGTCTAGCAGATACGTTTCCCCTCCCAGGAGGACGGCCTTTCTTTTGTGTAACTTGGGGAATATGTACCCTCTCCTGCCTTTACCCAGCTCAGTTTTGGGCCACTTAAAATACTATCTTATGAGGAGGTCTCAGCAGAGGCCCTGGAGCACAGAGGGTTGGGCAGGCTTCCCTAGGTGTGCACCTCTTCTGCTGGGAGCTGGCTAGATGTGAACAGAGAGAACTCCGTGCCTTCCCGCAGCCCTGCCAGGCTGCCTGCAAGACTGTAGGAGGCCAGTGCGCGGGAGGCACGGCGCTCCCTCAGGCCTCGGGACCACTGTTCACATGAACCTGTTCTTCTGGTCTCCAGAAATGCTAGAAAATGCAGTCACCAGTTATTCCAGCTTTAGCTTCAGTTTCAACAATACCAAACACGGATTTTTAAACTTTTCACAAAAAGAATTCTTTGCAGTAGTCGAGTTTTATTCAGCTCCCCATTCTGGCTCTTGAAATCAGAAAAAGATGACAGGAGTTGCACGGTTACTCTGCAGAGCTGTTGCTCCATCCGTTATGGTATCTCTCAGTTGCAGTCTAGAGAATTACTCAACAGGAAAACCCTTGTCCAGTCACATCATTAAAAGAAATCCTGACAGTTCTCTGCAGGACGGACCACTGTGTCTGCATCAGTGCAAAGGGACAGCTCCTGGGGCGTCTGTAGGAACCTGCCATTTCCTTCCACCTTACTGTTTGGATGTTCTCAAAGGAAGGTAGAAGAGAATCACTGTAAAATAAGTTCCCACCATGTGACAGGTACTTTCTAGTAAAAAAAAAAATACCCATAAGTATACGAGGAAGGTTCGGCTCTCACTGGGGGAGATGGAACAGTGTCTACCAGTCATGGCTTACTGGAAGGACAAGCAGGTAAATTCTCGCTTGGATCTGCGTTGCAGCCTCCCCACAGGTTGTTGGACGCGTGGTGAGAGGCAGCAGAACAGTTCTAATCTGAGACAGGTTGTGAACAAGGCCCCTTGTCTTCTGGTTATTTTAGGAACCATTATCGAACACTGCGCCAGGCTATTATTGACATGGTTTTGGCAACAGAGATGACCAAACACTTCGAACATGTGAACAAATTTGTCAACAGCATCAACAAGCCGATGGCAGCCGAGGTGAGCAGTTCCCCTGTGATGAGCTACTGGCAGAGTGTGTTTCAGCAAGGGTCTGCTCTGGCTTCGAAGCTTTTCCTCTCCCTCTTGAAGGAGAGGTGGTTATTTGCTTGGAGTTGGCAAAGGGGTAAGGCACTTGCCACCTGTGTTCGTTGGGGATGAAACTAGGCTGACAGTGTCCACAGCAACTCCGAGTTCCTTGAAAGGCCCCGAGAGAGAGAGCCAGTGACAAAAAGCACAAGGCCCAGAGAATATGACGGGAGAAGCCTGCAGCCCAGCAGAGGCTGGCAGACACCATGGTTTTTAGGGGATCCAAAGCCCTTCCTCATTCTGTTCTTTGAGCTCTTGGGAGGCCTCAAAGTT